TTAGTGTCATGTGCACAATTTACAAAAAAATCCTTATGTGAATGTCGTACAACATTAAATGCAATTACAATTACAATGGCAAATCATGACAGTGCAGAGGGCATTTAAATGCCACAGGAGGAGGCATACCTTTACACAGCAGAGCTGGTAGACATAGTCATTTGTGATGAACACAAAGTGACAGCTGGAATTGAAGGAAGTGTGTACAGTGTTGTGTATACTATGGTAGTTTAACTCCTCAAAATCCCAGACTTATTACACCTTAAGGCTTATTATTCAGCAACTACATGGACTAGAGGGCCAACTGAGTTATTCTTAAGTTATTGATGTGTGTAATAAAAGTTAGGCTTGCCAGTGGGTCCTGGCCATTTGAGGAATTCTCTATTAATAAATGTGATTTTTGCAAAGCTGTCACTGCGTTTATGTGTAAAGAGCTTGGCCTAACAAAGCCGTAAATTCTGTAAATTAAAAAATCCTACTTTGATCAAGCGAATATATTAATAGGAATATACTTCATATGTCAGTCACCTTTTATCATTACTATGATTATACCAGTCACTAATTACCCATTCAAATTTTTTTGTTAGGTCCTTTCCTTAGGTTATAGAAGTAGATAATAAAACTTTGAGCCTGCTGATGGACCCTGGCCATTTAATGGGTTAAGTAACTTGACACTTTGGGGATAGAAACTGTCTAACTGGTCCAACTACTGATTGTTCTGTATCATCTACTAGAACCTCCTAAACAACTTTCAGGTCAATTTTATGCTTTTTGGCAACTGAAACATTAGTACTTCACGAGGCATTCTTCTTCTTCTATCACTTTCAAGTCCCATGCACTCCTTATACAAACTCTTCTTCTGGAGCCTTGTGGCATGTAATTTAGCTCTGGTGAGACGAACAGTATCTGAGAGCCAGAGAGGAGGAGGAGGAGGAGGAGTTTTTCTCTTTTTTTTCTGCCTTGAATAATCCAGCTGCAATCTCCGCCATTTTGGGGGCCAGGGCCGACAAAAGGATGTGATTTTTACTCTATAGACTGTAATTACTGTTGCAGGTCCTCATTGTGCTCCTTCCATTTAAAACGCAGTGTGTCCCTCCGCTAATGACTTGTTCCTGATGTGTTCATTCATCCTTTGCGCTTAGGCAATCTGTTTACCCAATAATTTACTCCATAGCCCACTCACTCAAGCTCCACATCTCCAAGAAAAAGGCTCAGGGATTACTGCTCATTGTGGCTCTGTCAAGCCCATCTGTGACCTAGAAAGCTTTAGCAGGCCCCTTTAAGCTCGCGCTGTTATCTAGCTAAATTGCTGGTGGAGCTGCGGGCCTGGAGGGGGGGGTACAGCATGTGTGCGAGGGCAGAGGCGACGCAAGCTCATTTGAATGATTTTGTTTACCCTGGAGAAGCGCTTACTCCATTCACACGCAGAGAGCCGGGGGTTATAACTGAACCGCAGGTACGGGTGCAGATCCACAGATGATTGCCACAGACGTGGCTGGCACAATTAGGCGCATTCTATTTTGGAGGATGGCATGGGAAAGGAACGTGACGTGTCGGCCTGTGTTTGATTTTCTGCGCTGTTTTGAAGAGATTAAGTAAATGTTATTGAATGGGAGATTTATTTTGACTGACAGTTCACTTGTTCCCGGCAAAATGTGTTACAGTGGTAATTAATATTGAAAAATACCATGAGTCATAATGGACCAGATAAGGACAAAATTAGGTCACCGTTGTGATTGACAGAGGATTGGGAAAAGCTTTTGAAACAAGCAAAAACCCCCATTGATTAAATTATATCCTGATTTTTCAGGATGAGCAATTTAGCAAACAAACCTACAGTATATCATCAGCCCCTAGGACACCCATTCATCTCACAGCATCAGCACCTCTGTGGAGCTTTCTAAGCTTTTCTAGCACTCTTTCCAGTTTGGTAGATTACACATTGCCAGCTCCTTACTCACTGGGCCCTTGCTCAGCAGCTTGCTCAGATTCAGCCTTTCCACATGACTCAAACATGGGCAGTGAACCACACAAACACTAACTCCCCATATGCAGCCCAGCAAAACTGTCAATGGTAGCTTTCATAGACATGAAAAAGCAAATGGCCTTCAGCAAGAGCACTGATATTTATTACCATAAGAAATTTATAGACATGTATCCAAATTTGAAATATGACCATCTTTTATCAGTGCTTGTTTGCCTTTTGACTCTAATACACAGTACACATGTGCATGAACAATATTCACAACTCACTGCGTGAATACAGACACAAGATAAATGCACAGTGGCCAGTCATCTGTGAAATCGGTCAGCAAATCACTGAGCTGCTGCTCCACCTCTAATCTGTACCGTGGCGTAGTCAGGGCTTTGGAGCTCCTAATTGCTCTTTTAAAGTCATTGTGCTGGAGGAAAGAATTAGGATCTTAATTCCTCATGCTGACAGCACTTTCTTTGTGATTCTCCTCATTTATGTCACAGTAAGTAGCCGAGGCATTCCATAAGTAAGCAATGACATTACATTTATACAAATGTAACATGCTATTGTTACATTTTTGTTATTTATTCATTTTTAATGCCCCATTTCCTATAAACACCTGCATGTTCTAGGACTACTGAAGAGACACTTTGGTGTCATTCATACTTGACATTAACATGGGTCTTGGGAGATCCAATCATTAAGTTGACAGTGCTAAGTACAGGTATGAACGGGGTCTTGATGTCTCAGAGACACGGTGTGGTGCGATCACTCAAATGCTAGAGCATAATTGTTAAATTGTCTTGATTCCCCACAGAAATGAAGGACCACCTTAATCAACCATGTCATCACAACAGAGATGATAGCAACTGTTTAGTTTATTTACTTGTCTCCTTTTCCTGCTTATAAGTTGCGTTTGTAACAAGCCGTTTCACATATGGTCACTGGAGATGCGCTCAATATGCAAGGGAAAATGACTATACATCTTGCTGTCTACACAAACATCAAGAAAGATGTTAATTCCAAGTGCACAGCTTGTATGATTTCCAAAGAAAAGCACTGCCAACAGGACACTCTGAGTAGCCCCACATGAGCCTAAGGTCATCACGCTCAATGCCAAGCATCAGCTAGAGAGGTATACTGCATTCTCTGGAGTGATGGAGCACCATCCAATACCTTCAAGATGAGTTGGATTGCCATTTGTGATCCAGAGCTAATCATCCAACACCAGTACCTGATGTCAGTAATGCTCTTGTGGATGAATGCAACCAAATTCTTACAGCAATGCTCTAGCATTATAGGTAAAGCCCTTTCAGAAGAGTAGAGGCTGTTATTTCAGCAAATCAGGGGGACAAATGTCAGAGGAAACATTGGATGAGCAGGGGTATACAAATTTTTAGACATATGACATTTCGGAAAGTGTAGAGAGAATGTAAAATTTATAGATTTGTAATTGTAAGCTATATAATGGAAAAACAAATTTATTTTCTGTTTAAAAATAAATGAGTAAACCTCCTTTTGATTATACATTGAGTACATTCTGAGATTTGTAGTACCTACTCAAAGGCCAATAAATGGACAATGAATAAATTTTTCATAACATATTTCTCACCTTCTACAACTCCAGTTATCTCTTTCTCTCTCTCTCTGCCAGGTGGTGGGTCAGATCGACAAGCTCACATCAGACTTCGACTTCGACCTGGAGCCAGATGATTGGACGGTGGCAACGGCAAGCAGCACGTCCAGCAGTGAGCGCGGCCTGGGTGAGGCATTCCGACTGGACTTTCTCAGTCAGGATGTGCTGTCAGATAGCTGGGAGTTCTGCAGTTACCTGGAGGCCTCGAGCGCAGCTGGGCGGAAAACGCCCAGGGACGAGGACCTGGAGGAAGAGACGGGGAGGTCAGCCTCAGCCACACCCACTCCAGCCACAGCAAGCGTTTACTCCCAGATGAATGGGGGTCTACCTATCCCGAACGGACCTTTGATCGTCACCCCAGATTCATCAAGCGAAGAGGCCTCCAGCTCCACTCACAGCCAGAAAACATCCCGAACCTCCGGGACCAGAGAACGGGTGCGTTTCAGCGACAAAATCCTCTACCACGCCCTGTGCTGTGACGATGACGAAGACGAAGCAGAGGAGAGGGCGGACGAGGACGATAAAGTGGACTGTGGCACGCCGGACACGGACAGTGAACCAAGCCCACTGGCCTGCTCACCTGTCCCGCCACTCTCTTCCTCTGAACACTCACAGACTCTTCACAATTTCCGGGAAACCTCTTCCGCGGGACCCTCGCCCGTCAAGATGGCAGTGCTTGGACCCCACACATTGCCGCGTAAGGGCCTCCTTAACCCTGGCTGCAGGAAAAAACTGCTCCGCAATAGTAGTACGCAGACGGTGTCAGACAAGAGCACTCAGACAGTACTGCCCTACGTCCCCAGCAAACAGAAAACCAAGGACCACTGAGGGGATACTCAAACCTAACTACAAGAAAACAGAGAAAAGAAAAAGAAAACTGAGAGAATATTAAAATGACTGTCTACTATTTAATATTAAATACATAGATACTAGATTACAACACAAATTAATAAATGAATTACTAAATAAATAAATTATATATGGGAAAATATAATTTGTCAGATTTCCTAACGTCATTTTACAGCTCAGGGATTAAATGCAAGAGAACTATATCTCCAAGTTGTGAGAGGTGTGGCAAAATTGCAAGCTTTGTTTTGTGGAAATCTGAGTGAAAGCACCAGGATGTGGAAGATTTAATTGATTTAACATTTTCATTTAATGACATTCATATGTAAAAGTTCCATTACTGCTATGCCTGCTATGCGTATGTCTAGACTGGAGTTCTGCTTATAGTGCATAACTCACTATAGTCCCCATTCTTCAGTATTCCAGTGTTTATACTTGTAGCCTAATGCAGTCTGTATTCCACACATATTACATCCTTTGCAAAATGACCAAAAGAAAACAACATACCATCATAAGAGTGCATATACACAGCAGTGAAAGGTAGTGAGATATTGACTGTTTGACTTGCCCTTGATTTTTATAAACCATTCCAGCGATGCATCCCTTCATCTGGTGCTTCATCTTGGGTGGAGGGAGGGGGGAGTGGTGGCTAGATTGAAAAAAAGAAAGAAAAAAAAAACAAAAAAAAACAAAAAAAACACAATTTCGGGTGCCTGCTCTCCACTTTGACATTTACTCTTTCTCCCTTCCCCCCCTCCTCTCTGCGGAGTAGGGCAAGGTTGTTGGGGGTTATGACTCGAATCTTGAAGCACAAAGCCGAGATGCAAAAGGTTATGTCTCTCCATTCTCAGGCCCAGTGGGGACTCGTGGACTCAATAGTGCTGTGTTTTATTCACAGGGATGATGCCAATAGCGCCTGATCAATACTGCTGGTTCGAGACCCAGCGAGGGGGCTTCCGCTCTGTTCACTCGACCCCCTGCTCTGAGGGCCTTTAACAAAACCCACCTCGTGCTTGGTATTTAATCTATGGGGCAGAAAAGAAGGGAAAAAAAAAGATCCTGACCTGAGGTTGGAGAGGAAGGGAGTGAGAAAAGAAAAGAAAGAAAGAAAAAGAAAGAATGGAGTGTAAATGAAGGGCAAAGTAGTCCAGTAAAAAGAGCATATGAAGACAGATTGGTCTTAATTACCCCTCCCTGAACGTGATCACTTACTTCCCAATCACCTCCTGGTGAATCATCTCCCAGGGGCAGGAGCAAGGCTACTGCAGTAGATCCTGCACCGTGATCTACACCCACCAAAATGTGAAGGGATTTTAAGCAGGTAGTATCAGCAGTGAAGACATGTGTTGAGGAGAGGTAGATTTCAGCAGAGATGGAGACTCAAAAAAATTACTACTATACTGTGCATTTATAATAATGTAATTACATATTTATAGTGAGTGATGAAATGACAATAAAAACATTTCATAAAATTTAAGTTACAATAAAATGTCTTTGCCATTACTCACAAAACCAAATGTAATACAAATTGAAAGACTGAAACTATTAATACACTTGTTTCAAAGAAGTTCAAGAAAAAAATTCTGCTATTTGAATTATATATATATTGAATTATACTACTTGTAAAAACTGTGACTTCTAAGGGTTTAATAGTACATGTAAGCAGCATATTGTGGCTGTCCAATCAAATCCACGCAGCTCCTATTTTTTAACATTTATATATACACACTGCAAAAGTTTGGGCACCCCGGCCAAATGACTTGTTTTGTAAGGGAAAGTAAGTTAACACATTCTCTACAGAGGAAACACTTCTGTACACTTTAATGCACACTTACTGTTTATTTGCTGAATTAAACACACTAGGGAAAAAAATTAAAATGCATCCTGTGCAAAAGTTATGGCACATTTCTTATGTTTTGTCAGACGTGAAAATCAGCAAATAAATACAAACTGTGCACTGAAGCTTATGATGAAAACACCAAAGGAAATGGTCCAAAATGACTGGAATAAAATCTTGTTAGATGAACTTACATTAAATTTAAGGTTATTTTTTTAATCTCATATAAAGTGACAATTTTACATGAAAAAAAATTTCTTACTACAGCAAATGCTTCCCAACTCTGGCCTGCATGTTCCTCTAGTGCCTACTCTAGTCTCACGCCTCATCTAAAAAAAAAATTAATTAATAAGCCTTTTTTAAGTTGAAATGCCAGAGAAACACTAAAATATACATGTCACTACTACTACTAGAATGTGGTGCTTACCTCGTTGATGTATAACATGCTTTATAGTATGCAATTTTCATGAAAGGATTACACAATGCCGATGAAAGAAAAGCACTATATTATACGGAGCACATGACTGATAGGGTGTGAGGCATTATGATGAAAAACAAAGCACTGTTTCTGTGATCATGGTGAAAGAAATGACGATAATCATCAGCAGAAATGGAAGCGGCAGTTCCAGCGCAGCCTCGACCGTAGCTGCCGCCGAGGCAGACGTTCTGCTTACATTTTCATTCGTCTTGTGTATTTAACATTGGAGAGGCTCCGTGAGAAGGATGCATCGAATAACAATCAAAGGATCACACCCCGCTGTTCTGCCTGCCATTTCCTCCGTTAGATTGAGGACCAACAGGTCAGCAGACACATTAACATAAACAAACAAAGCACTCGCCAACACCGCTGCACAGAAAACGCATCAATCACCCTAAACACAAACAAAAGCCAGATTCTAAAAGCCATGCTTCAACAACTCCCTTACAGCCTTCTGTTGTTTGTTTATTTATTTATTTACTCACTGTAAACAGCTCAAAGGGGAAAACCGTGTTAGTAATTATTAATCATAATATTATTGAGATTAATAATTAATTCATCATAATAGTAACAATTATGAAGCATAATAGTAAAATCAATTAATAATTGAGCCCTTGCAATGAAAAGTATGTGTGGTATGTGGGGACTTTTTCCAAAAAATCATGTAAGTATAGTTGGCATTGTGTGATGCCCTGTATTTAAAATAAAAAGATAACTGCTACATCAATAAAGCATAGTTTGGTTCTTTAATGTAAAAGACTGTACAAAATAAAATAGAAAACAAAATAACTAATAATCTAAAAAAAAGTAGTGGAATGGTTGATATATGGTTTTTCATTTAAGGGGCTCAATTGATGAACAGTTATTCGGCAACACTTTACTGTAGGACAGTGTTAATAAAGCCACATGACACCTATAAGTTTATGACTTACATAAGCTTACATGGAAATTTGTCATTTGTCATAGAGATTGCATTTTCCAGCTTTGACGTCAAGTAAAACATAACATCTATGTCAGGTGACATTTTTTTTTTCCTGAAAATAGGGTCTTGGCCACATGTATCCGGATACTACTTCTCTGCATTTTGGCCTCCTGGTGTTTTTGATCTTCGATAACTCCATTTTCAGTGTTTTTATACAGACAAAATGTTGCTTTTGAAAATGCAGACATCATACTGTTAACTTATCTGTAGTGGTTTCCATTTTTTAAGTGTGCAGAACTTTGTCTAAATTTTACTGACGGGGTTGTTTCTCTGTGCTCGGAAATTTGGGGGTGATTTGGGAGCTGATAACATGTTTAGAATTCAAATAGGCTTTATATGGCATTATCGGCCACTACTGGGTGGTCATGCTCATGTCAGTGTTGTTGTCAGTGTTGTCAGAGTTGTTTTTGCATTTTTGTGTGGACAAAAATGCTGCCAATGTGGACAAAGTTTGTGTGTTTGTTTGTTTGTTTTTTTAAAACAGAGGGAAAAACTTTGTGCTTCATTCACCAACCTTCTTAAAACCCACTTACACACAACATTCGCCAATGTTTTCTCATTTGGAGTTTGTTCTAAAGGTAAAGTAAGGTAAAAATGGAATCTATACACTCAAGAACAAAGCTGTGAACAATTCTGTGGTTTAAGAAAACGTCATGAATCAGACAGATGTTTTTCTTAGGATCTTTCTCAAGAACTAATTTGGAAAAAAAAAAAAAAAAAAAAAAAAACACACCACACTAACAACTTAGGAAGATATTTGTGAATGAGGCTCAATATTTTTTAAAATATCTGGATACTTATGGACGAGGCCTATGGTGTGTCATGACACTTTCCGGGGGAAGTGACACACTTTATGACTCAGTGTATGTCAGTGACATAATGCTGATAACAAAGCTTGTCCAGTCAAGCTAGTCAGACAAAAGTGAGCATTTAAAAAAATTAATTAATAAAAAAAAGTGAAGAAAATCTTTTAAATTTTACAGTCTAGAAGATTTAAGGTATGTGACATCAGCATTAAGTCCCTGTGACACACACTGATCTATAGAGTTAGTTTATAACATGCTGTCACTTCACCCAAAACATTGCCATGACAAAACTATGTCAGAAAAAAAAAAAAGAAAAGTCACCTGACATAGGTGCTTTGTCAAATTAACAGCAAAGGAGAACTCCATCGATTGTTCATAATTTCTTCAATATTCAGTCACTGACGTGTAAACAGTCATTCCGCAAGATTTTTTAATGAAATGATTCATTGTAGAGAAACGTACCACCTCGGATTTTGATACAGTGGTGGTGATAGGAACCAAGGGTCACAGCTACAACACAAAGATACTTTTCTTTTCCATCTAAAATAGACATGTAGGTTCATTAGCTGAATTTTTTCATTTTTCTTTATTTATTTATTATTTTTTCATTTAATGTTGATAATAGTAAAAAAGTAGTAGTAAATCTGAAAAATAAACTTTCGCTGGGGTCTATTTTGTCTTAGATTGCCATGACCACCATGGATGCGTTAAAAAAAAATGGGTAACACTTTCTATGAATGTCACCTTTGTAAGCATCTATAAACACATCAACATGTTATAATGCATTCTTAAGGCACTATAAACATGGTTATAAATATTTATAAAAAAGAAATGTTGGATTACACTTTATAGACATGTTTATTATACATTATGAATTGTTAATATAATGTATTATACATAGTGTTAATAACATGTTATACTGTCAGTGCCAAAGAAGTCAGTTCCAGCTTGGAGAGCATAAAGACAAATACCAAGCTAACGGTGGTGTACATTGACTTTCCCACATTGGGTAAAACACTGATGGCAGCTCTAGTTTAAACTTTGACATTTGAAGCCTGTAATGTGTTTTACTGTGTATGTTTTACTGTTTCAGTAAATCCTTCAGTAAATACTTCAACTTGAAGCCTCACTCTTAACACTGGAGGAGGCTTTAGCACAGTATGCTTCACTTTACTTAAAGCGGACAAATACAACTTGAGCTCTCATAATTTGTTATGATCAGTACTTAATGTATTATTTGAACAATTCATAATGCATAATAAACATGGCCATAACATATAATGCATTTTTATAAATTTATAGCTATGTTTATAATGTCTTATGAATGCATTATAACATGTTATGAATGTTTATAGATGCTTACAAAAGGTGACATTCATAGAAAGTGTTACCAAAAAAATGTTTTAGGCCAAAATCTTCTGAAACTTATATAAAAACAGG